ACACACTCTTAATACTTGTTTCCTCAAAAAAAAAAAAAAAAAACACACACACACACATAGAAAAACACAATTTATTTATAGCGCCAAATAGATGATCGAGTCCCACTTAATTAGTGTCTATATTCCTTGTAGCTGCGCTGTGGAACCTTGCTGAAGATGACCCTTATGAGATCATAGTAGAGGGACAACTGGGCAAGAGCGAAAATGGTAACCGGCAAGCAAGTCGCTACATATAATGGATATGCCACATGTCTGAGGTGTCGATCAAGGAGAAAAATATGGCCACTACAGAATGAGACTAACACGGCAGCTATGGATGCGAAGAGTGATGTTAAACCCAGCAAAAGTTTCCGGGGCAAGCTGATGGAAAAATCACGCGCTTCGTATCGAGACGTAATAATGGTTAGAAAGAAGACCAGGGCAGTTACTGACAAGCAGAGAGCAAGCAGTGATGAGATGGTGAAGGCATTGAATGCCGGTTTGTCTTTGAAAACCGGTGAACCAGTTTTATCATCGAGTCCGCCCGGTACAGATGCTGATGTTGCGAAGGCAACTGTTGCAATGAGCGCAGCAACCAGAGAGCATGATTCGGAGGTTTTGACGAGCCATTCACTGCCTTCTTTTCGAAGATCTTTGTGTGAAGTTGTGAAGACCTCCTCTGGCATCTGAACATCTTTGTTGTAGCGAACAGATGAACGAGGTGGCATGGAATTTTTGACAAACTGCATCCATGCACAATAAAATTTAGAGCATTTAAAACTTTATTCAAAGATTGATATCTGTTCAATTAATGACCTTATTATTAGTTTGAGTTAAGTCTCAATTGAAAAAGAAACCATTTAACTATTTGTTATTATCATTATAAAATTTAAGTGTTTAGTTGTATTATTCTTGATTTGTTTGAGTTATATATATATATATACCCCTTCTATTGAGGGATTCCTCAAATAATTTTATTTGAGGGACGCCCTTTAGGGTACCCTACAATTTTTTTTCCAATGATCCAAACCATATATTTTTTAGGTCTTCATTCATAGATCATCCTTACAAAAAATTAGACAAATCGGAAATCGTTTCGACATCCAATTTTGTCTTACAAAATCAATGAACACAGTGCTTCAATAAAGTACTAAAATTTCAATAACTCAATTGAGTGGTCAAATGATATTGGATTCAAGTGATTTTTTGTAAAGATGATCTTTGAATAAGTATCTACAAAATAGACGGTTTGGATTGGTGAAATACATTCCATAGTGGGGCCTATAAGGGGTGTCCCTCAAATAAGCTTATTTGAGGGATCCCTCAATGGAAGCTATATATATATATATATATATATTCCATTTTAATGAGGGATTCCTCAAATAATTTTATTCGAGAGACACCCATTAGGGTCTCTTAGAGTATCTACAAGCATGATCCTTATTTTTTAGTTAAAATTTAGGTAAAAACACACAAAAGCTGTTTTAGGAGCTCTCTATAAAATTTGAACTCCAACCATACTCCCTAATTTAGAGAGTCATCAATACTATAATTATTTTTTAATTCAATATAATTGGTTCATCTCTATACAAAATAATATATATTTTTTAAATTGCATTAATTAAAAGTTTAAAATATGCATAAAACAAAGCAACATTAAATTATGGGGAGCTATTAGGAGTCATTTCTCTCTCCTCAGATTTAGGAGCTCCAAGAGGTCTCCCTATTTAGGAGGTGGATATGGAGCATGGTTGGAGTTGTATTTTTCCAATTCGTCCCTAAAATTTGTCTAAGGGGGTGTTTTTAGGGAGCCCATTGTGGATGCTCTTAAGAATTTTTTTTCAACAATCAAAACCGTCTATTTTCCAAATCTTCATTCATAGATCAAATCATGCAAATTGAAAATCATTAAGGCATATAATTGGGACCAATAAAATAGACAAACACGGTGCTTCATTAAAACAAATAAGATTATTGTTAGATATATACGTACCGTGTACCACTTGAGTTCCCACTGCATTTGTAGTGCGGCACCAGGAGTAAGCCATGGCCGATGACTTCCACATTTAGCAGCAAGATGCAATGCATTGTTACCCTTGTTGTCCACCCGACGTAACAATCTTGTGATTTGTTTCTTCCTGTCCATTAGTAAACTGTAAACATGGGGTTGCCTGTTCTCGACTGCCAACAGTGCAACATTCTTGTTTTCTGAGTCCACATCGTAAATAGCCATTGGAAATTTTTCTAGGATTGTTTTCACCATTTCACTCACTCCCATCTTTGCTGCAATTAATATTGGTGTCTTCTTATCTTTGTCCTTCTTCTTATCTTCCAATTTGTCATTCTTCTTATCTTCCGTACTGTCTTTCTTCTCTGTATCCAATTCGGTACGATCAGGAAAATCTCCAAATTTATCTTTATCGTCTGGAGCTTCTCCAGAATTTTGTACGACATTCTTGTATAAAGTACTATGGTCAACCAATTGATTCATGACCTGAGTAGCCCATATATGTCGCCTTTTGTCGTCGAGGATTTTATCTATGCTCCAAACTGCTAGAAATACAAATGATGACATTCTAATTAAAAACAACTTTAGCATGCCTGAGGGGGTTTCAAAGAAATATGTGCAATTAATTTTCTTTCATTTGGCTCCTTCAAATTGAGGAAGAGCTCATTCTCAGAGCAAATGGGATTTTGACTTTTTTTTCTTCTTCAAATTCTTTTAATTTCTTTGTTTTGGAATTTGCCAAGTGTCAAAATTCCATTTTCTTTGAGGATAAGCTCCTCCTTAGTTTTAAGAAGCCAAACGTTGCTCATAAATGAAAATGTAAATTAACGAATTCACCACAAAGTTTGATAGTACTGACTGCTTCGCGGAGAACCATTGATCACGTCCAAGACAGCTGTGATTAAGTTGAAAAACTTAACACATGAGGAGTAAATATAATTGGGGATGACCTTCTTCTCGTTGGTTCATACCTACAATTTGAAAAACAAGAAGGAAAACAATGCTAAAAAAGTTGCACATATTGAAATCAATGGGCATCCAAAAACATTTTATCAATGTATTCGTAATGTCTTAAATTGAATTATTGACCTTGACAAGATGGACTTTGTGCAGTTGTGATCGCATAAAACTTTAAGGCATAAATATTCAGAGTTTTTATATTAAATTTCAATTTCAAGATTATCATGGAGTCAACGAAAATTCATATTCGAGGATGAGTTTTTTTTTCTGACTAGGGGAGTTTGATATAGGGAAAATCAAGGGATTCTCATCATTACTGCTAAAATTTAAAGTTACTTATTTATTTTCCATGTTTACTTATTAGACGAAGAAATTATAACCACTTGAAATTGAGAGAGATGACGAAAGGGATGAGTAATAAAAGTGAAAACAAAAAGTTGAAAGTGAAAACAATTTCCAATATATTTCAATTTTTAGTTTTCGTTTTCACTTTTGTTACTCCTCCTTCTCATCCTCTCCTCATGTTTTCTCTCAATCCCATCTCCACTCTCATTCTCACTTCCATTCTCCCTCTTTTACTTCTATACTTCAGCACAAAAAATGAAACTTAAAACTACAATTGAAATGGTTATCAAACGGGCCCTTAATTATTAGTTTTCAAATTTTTTTAATAAAAAAAATGAAAAATGAAAACATATTTGGTAATAGATTTTGTTCTTTGTTTTCAAAATAGTGAAAATGAATTTTTTTTTGCTTGTGTGCTTCTGTTTAGGTTTATTTTCTCTATTTAAGAGATGTATTTTACAGTTTAAGGGTGGATACACCATTCATGAGAAGTGATAAGGTTCACTACAAGTTCAAAGGACATTATAGTTACCCAACTTTACCTGGCATTGAGCTGGGATTCTCTGCATCTTCCTTTTTATTTCCTCTCTTAGCTAGACATAGAGAAGAACACATCCTATTTCCCCATGATTTAGCTGGAAATGGAGAAACTATGTTATATTAGACTTGTGGTAAATATGTGTGGTGACGAAAAAGCAACGTATAAATTGGATAAGTGACTACCACTCACTTAATTCTTGAGATTCAGAATCCCTATTGTCGATATTCCTTCCTTTTTTGCCGCGGGGACAAATCTTTTTGTCAACTTCTTGCCCTTTTAGCTCTTCAGCAATCAAACCTGAGAAATGAAATGGAAAAACTTATTCGGACAGAAGTACAATTGCAAGATATAGAGTAATTAACCAAGGTCCCTGCAGTTGCAAGATATAGAGTATACTTGTATTTTCTACTTCGTTCCTCCTAACTTTACAATTTCAGCTTCGTCCCTGAATTTACTGATTGTATGCAATACTTTTATTAGAGACTGAGTTTTTCTTCTGGAAACATGAATATAACACCCTTATAATGATCAAACAACTCTATATATATATATATTTTTTTCTTCAAAAAAACAGGTACATGTATGATATACATACTTAAAAAGGTCATATCATCATAGTTCTATTTTTAAATAATTTTGTCCCCTGAAAGCCTAGTAATTACCAAGTGAGACATGAAACTGCCAAGTGCAAATGGATTAGCATTGTATTACATGAATTAAACATCCAAAAGCTTGATCATACACCAAAAAATAAAAAATAAAATCGATAGAGATATTCTTACAATGGTATATGAAACGATCCAACGGTCTAAGGCGGCTACTGCTTTTGAATGCTGATGGAGTATTGGCTAGAATATGCAGGGGAGATAAGCCAATCTGATTAATACAATTAACAAGTTCTTTGTGCCACAGAATGATCTGGAATGCCAAGCCTATATATTTAAAAAGGAAATTAATAATAAAAAATGATATTAAGTTAACATATATATATATATATATATATATATAAGAAGTAATAATAATGCTATTTGTGCCATATTTATTTATCATTTTGTCGAAGTAAACTCCACCAATGTATATGGAACTCACTTATATTAGAGATGTGATCGACAATATGATGGTTCAAATAGCAACAATCTTTAAGAAGTGGGTATGCCACACACTTACTGAAGTATTCACCGGACATAGCTGCATGGAGAATGGTATCACCATTCCTTGCTCTAAATGAATAGCATCCTTCTACACAGTGACTATGAAGGCAAAGAAAAACCTTCTCATGCCCATTAAGAGCTGCCAAGAAGAGAGGGGTCTCGTCCTGATCATTGCGAAGCGACACGAGTTTGCGGTCTTTGGTGGCCATTGCATGACACGTTTCCACATCCCCCACTTTAGCAGCTAAATGGAGAGGTGTGTTGCCTTTCTTGTTTTTTATTTGCAATATCTTGGATGCATTTTCTTTAATGATCTCCAGCAAATCCAGCACAATTTTTGTTTCGCCATCGAAAGCAGCGATATGTAGAGCAGTGTCCCCCATTTTGGTGATACGCAAATCATGAACATTCTCTGATGATCTATAGAGCCCCACAACTTTTTCCCAGTCGCCGGTCATGGCATTATCGAACAGGTCCTCCTCCACTTCCCTCCCTCTATCCACCACTTCCTCCACTCTCTCCATGTCTGGCCTCTTGCACTAGCGAGTCTAATGATTACGTGATATATATAGCAAAGAAAGCGTTTGTGACGCCACTGTAGAGAATTGTTATATATACACATATACATTCATTAATAGTGTTTTTTTTATAATAAAGTTTTCTTTTAAAGATAAAAAATTGATTAACCATTTAATCATCATACCGTACGTATATATGATTATTTTAGTGTTTTTATTCAAATCTCAGTGTTCATCCATTTATCCTTCATTAGAGTTAAGTGACTAGTAAGATATTTACAATTTTACTTTTTGTTGTTGTTGTTGTTGTTGCAAGAATGATGTTTGAAGGGAGGCTCTAAAAAATAGATATATAGTTTGGATCATAAAATCACATTGCGGGTATATATTAAGTTATAGTAGTGCATGAATTTGAAATTTGTTTGATACAATATTGTTCGCTATTACTTATGTTATGCTGATGGAGTAGAGGTTAATTATGTCCAATTAACTAACTTTGATTAATAATTTCTAATTTTTTTTTTAGATAGAAAGAATCTAGAAGCATCTGAAAAAAAAAAAGGCAGAGGAGACTCAGGAACAAAAGATTTAGCTTGTGATTGTTTCATCATTTTTTTTTTTTTTTTTTTTTTTTTTTTTTTTTTTTTCCCCCAAGACACTTACTTACTGTCAGTGGTGGATCCAGGATTCAAAAGTCAGGTAGGCGAAGCTTACCTTAAAATTCGACGGTACAAGTGAATTTCATTCATAAAAATAAAAAGATACACCTAGTCGGGGAGAGCGTAATGAGATTTACCCTCAGATGTAAAAACTTGACAAAAATAAACAAAATAAAAAATTAATACAATGCAACAAAAACTAAACTATTTAAATCTAAAACTAAATTAAACTATTAAAAAACTTAAGATGCATACATTTATTTTAGGAAAAATCCAATAGAAGAATACTTATGGCCTTAGATATGAGAAAATGCTACCAAGAGAGAATGTCCAGACTCAAGAAGAAGTTGCAAAAGATAATGATTTGGGACTGTCTGACTATTGCACAACCAAAAGGAATTGGTTGCTTACTTATATTGCTTCCCCCCCTTTTCTTTTTTTAAGTTTGACTGGGGCATATAACACATAGGTTGCTTTTAAGTTTGGGTAGGCATGGGCTCACACCATTACATGGGATGGGTAGGATTAGCTTTGCTTACATATAGGTTTTTTTTTTGTCAAAAAATTTGGGTAGGCAGCTGCCTACCTTGCCCTTGCTAAAGAACCGCCACTGCTTACTGTCATATATTTTCTGAGAAGGAAGGCATTAATTAATTGCTCTTTGTTTGTTCCATCCAACTCCAAGCGCGATAAAAACCTTGTATACCATAAAACAAAAAGAGATGGAAATAAAAGCAATCAAAAGCGAAATCGTAAAGCGCATGCTTGTGCTGGACGTCAGTTTCTCCACATATAAGTAGAACTCATGAAATGTGACCACGAACAGACCCAGGATCTCAAATTAGGATATGCTAAATTTACCTTACGCACATAGTTATTAAACTTGACAGTACATAGTGAAATTCATTAATAACAAAAGACAACACCTAATCATGATGACATAATGAGTTTTACCTTTCAAAACGCATCTAGTACATAATTCTTTTCTATTTTCTATAGTATGTGTGGAGTGAAGGGGGGTTATTTTCTACCAAAAAAATAGAAAATAAGAGGGATTGTTTTCTAACAAAAAATAAAAGAAGCATGAGTTGTTTGTGTTTGGCCTTTGGCCCCTTTTGTACCAAAAAGAAAAAGAGAGAGAAAAAAGAGGTGAAGGGGGATTATGAGAGTGCATGGCTATTCATTGGGTGGGATGGGTATGTTGGTTTCGGCTAAAAAAGACAAAGTCACTGGTCCGTCTCTGAATGTGACTCATGAAATACGCTGGAATAACAAGTTATTATTGTGTTCTCCTGTCAAGTCAAGTTGATCGTACTTGGTTGTCTAAAGTAACAGGAAACTTCAAAATGACTGACGTTTAAAGTCCTAAGCTAGCTAGCCCACTTGTACCCAAAAAGCAATCAAAAGCTAAATTGTGCAAGGCATGCTTATGCTTGTGCTCTGCTCTGCTCATGAAATATATGCTTACATATCAAAGTTATCACTTTGTTGATCTCCTGTCGCATTCATCCTCCTACTTGTTGTCCAACAGAGGAAGACAAAGCTGGCACGTACCTTTTTTTCATTCCTCCTCGTCATCACTTGTGTGCATTCTCCTACACTAGAGGCCTTCTAATTGGGGCTGGGCCTGATCTGGTTTGATCCAGTTTTTAATTTAAATTATTGAGAGAACCGAACCAATCTGGACTTGTCCACTGTTTGGGCCTGAGCCCATTTCATTTCACTTTCTTCTGTTCCATTAAAATTAATTTTCCCTAACAGAAATTTTCAGCATTCATTTTCTAATAGGCCCAAGCCCAAATTCATCCTCCAACAAACATTTAACACTTGGACCAGAAAGGGCAAAAAAAGAGAGGAAAGAGATTAAAATAAATATCAAAAGTTTGGATCTTGAAGTGAACCAATTAAAACAAAGCAAAGTCAATCGCTAATGTCTTTTATTTTCTCCGTTAGGGTGTTTCCTTGCAGATGCCCCAGGTAAGTGCTTCAGAATTCGGTTTTTGTCTTTCGTGCCCCTTTTTTTAGTTTGTTTTCTTAGTGGTAGCCTTTTAACTCCTTTTGTTTATATATCTATTTGGTCTTCACCAAATCACGGTGAGTCACATCAATTTTCTCTGAAAAAGCGATTATTTCTTCTTTTATCAAACAGGATGAAAAGCTAAAATTGTAAAAATAAGTGATTTTGGCCTCAAATAAGTAATGCCAAAGAGGTCATAAGTTCAAATTATTGATCAAAATTAAGTCATTATCTTATAGTAGCAAGCACCAATTTTTTATTTTTTATTTATCATTTTTTGTATATTTATTAAGTATACAGAATGTGAGCATTTTGAAAAGAAAAAAAACTACTGTATGCAACTAGTATGCAACTAGAGGGTGTTTGTGGAGAAAAAGCTGGTGAAAAAATCAGTCACAGAAGAAGGGTAAAAGTACTACCCTAATTAACCCTAGCTTAATTATCTTTTAATATATGTCATCATGCATATGGCATTATTTGTAAAAACAATCTTTGTTTATTCTTCATCCTTTTATTCTTGAACACACATATATCTTAACTGGGTTGTACATCATCATATGGCTTGGTTTTAATTGGGGCACACTTCTTACAAAAGCCTCACCTCACTCCGGAAACAAGTTTCAAACCACACACTCAAATCAAACCAATTAATAAAAAACAAAAACAAAAACAAAAAACACACACACACACACTTTGAAAAACACAATTTATTTATAGCGTCGAATAGATGATCGAGTCCCACTTAATTAGTGTCTATATTCCTTGTAGCTGCGCTGTGGAACCTTTCTGAAGATGACCCTTATGAGATCATAGTAGAGGGAAACCTGGGCAAGAGCAAAAATGGTAACAGGCAAGCAAGTCGCTGCATATAATGGATATGCCACATATCTGAGTTGTCGATCAAGGAGAAAAATATGGCCAGTACAGAATGAGACTAACACGGCAGCTATGGATGCGAAGAGTGATGTTAAACCCAGCAAAAGTTTCCTGGGCAAGCTGATGGAAAAATCATGTGCTTCGTATCGAGACGTAATAATGGACAGAAAGAAGACCAGGGCAGTTACTGACAAGCAGAGAGCAAGCAGTGATGAGATGGTGAAGGCATCGAATGCCGGCTTGTCTTTGAAAACCGGTGAACCAGTTTTATCATCAAGTCCGCCCGGTACAGATGCTGATGTTGCGAAGGCAACTGTTGCAATGAGCGCAGCAACCACAGAGCATGATTCGGAGGTTTTGACGAGCCAATTACTGCCTTCTTTTCGAAGATCTTTATGTGAAGTTGTGAAGATCTCCTGTGGTATCTGACCTGCTTTGTTGTAGCGAACAGATGCACGAGGTGGCAGGGACTCTCTGACAAACTGCATCCATGCACAATAAAATTTATATAATTTAAAACTTTATTCAAAGATTGATATCTGTTCAATTAATGACCTTATTAGTTTGAGTTAAGTCTCAATTGAAAAAGAAACAATTTCACTATTTGATTATCATTATAAAATTTATAGTAAATTGAGCTTAGACCCATAAAATTCATTTTAAATCACCTACAACCCTTTCCTTTAGTTTTCTATTTAAAATACCCAATTTTTTCAAATAATACCCGACGACTAGGATCCAACTAAGCAAGTTACCTAATATAACTTAAAATATGATTTATTGTATTTTTCGGATTCCAAAACTACCCATATGTATAAGTTAATGTGTTATAGGAGGTGTAACTAATGACATCCGTTGAATTTGGAAATATCTCCAATTGTAATGGATGTAGGAACTATAGAAACTTATTTGAAATTAAATATTAAATTCCACATTAAAGTATTAGTAATCTATTTTGAATTAATGGTGTTTCCTTCTATGAATTACGACTAGTAATCTATTTAAAGTATTAATAATTTAAATTCAATATTAAATTTAGGAATTATTTTTTTTTTCTTTTTATGAATTATACGACCAATATTCTTTTTTATTATAGTTTTATGAATAATAGTACATTCTAATTATGTTGAAAAATAATTTGATAATCTATTTATTGTTTTGTTTTTAAAACATTTTTTTAATGAACCTATTTTTTCTCCAAATATTGTACATGTTTTTTTCTTTATTACTTGTTTTATGAAAAAAAATTGATCATCTTTTTATTGTTTGTTTTATGAAAACAATTTTTTAAAAATGAGCCTATTTTTCACTCAAAATAATGTACCTATTTTTTTTTCTAAATAATGGACCTATTTTTTCTCTCAAAATAATGTACATATTTTTTCTCTCAAAATAATGTACCTATTTTCTCTCAAATAATGTAACTATTTTTATTTCAAAATAATGCACCTATT